TTCGGAGAACGGCAGAATTGTAGTAGCCGATTAAGGTAAACAGCCCATCTACGCGTGCCATATAGACGCGATTAAAAAGGCGGTCAGATGTGGTTATGTAGCCCCACCTGAAGTACACCAACCTCATCCACCTGTATGGCCAGTCAAATATACAGATTGATAGATGGCGTGGCAACGGGCTCACCTCTTGGACAGGCCCTTGCAATTTTTTTTATGGGCAAAGTCGAGAAGACAAGATGACAAGATGCCATTAATGGCCTTGTCTTCTACGGCCGGTACGTGGACAATATCTTCTGTCTGGCGGAAGGTACCACCGATATCGACGACCTTTTACAAAAGTTCAACAGTGCGCATCCCTCGCTAAAGTTCACTGCCGAGCCTGAGGCAGATAACGAAATTGCGTTTCTCGATGTCCTCCTACACAGACAGGAGGATGGGTCTATCCAGGGCAGGGTGTTCCGAAAGAAAACCTGCACAGGACAATACTTTAATTTCCGCAGTTTTGTTCCCCGCAACATCAAACGAAATCTAGTCCAGGGATTGGCAGCTAGAGTGAGGCGCATCTGCTCACCTGAAGCTATTGAAGCAGATCTCCAACGGCTGCGGAACACACTTCGCGAAAACGGATACCCAGGTAGATTTATCCTCCGAAATATTGGGGAACGCATTGCAAAGCCCACTGTTGCGCCTGCAGAAAAGAAAGATGTATTCATAAGACTGCTTTTTGCAGGGGACGCAGCCAGCGAACTAGTCAGACGGCGCTTAACTACAGCTATCACGAGAACACTCCCGCGGCGAATTTACGCGTATGTGCGTTTCACAAACTCTCCCCTCCTACGTTTGGGAGGTAAAGACAGACTACTGTTGGAGGCCACATCAATGTGCATCTACACATTCACCTGCTCCTGTGGAGCGGGGTAAATCAGCCGTACAGCGCGACGCCTGGTAAAGAGGGTGCATGAACATATGCCCGCCTGGTTAGACTGAGGTGAGACCCGATCGATTTCGAGTTCTATTCTCGCATATTTAATCGGTACGGCTCACCGAGTCGATGCCAAAGTAGCATTTCAGGTTGTCTATCGGACACCAACAAGCTTCTCTAAAGGCCAACGCCAACGGATACTAGCAACGGCCGAGGCAGTGGCTCTACGGCTAGCGAATCCGATGTTATGTTGTCCGAAAACCCTGACACAAACGCTATCTCTGCAGTGGCCAACGCCAACCTTAAGTGATGACGACATGCCGCCTCAAATCCCTAATCACAGTGATGGATACTCCGTGTACTCAATCCAAGAACATCACTCAAAGACTCTCTTACCCCCTCCCCTAGCTCTAAGGACCAAAACCCGCCGACCTCGTCATGCGAACTGCGTGGGGAAGATGAGTGTTAATGACATAATTGACCCTTAGACACCTATAAAGACTGTTAATTTTGTACACTTTCACTCCTTCATGTAATTGTATTGGCCTGACGAAGAATTACCGAGAACACCCGTTTGCCAACCTGACTTTTCAAGCGTAACATGGGGATATTTGCGGAACTTATTTGGGAATTCTTCAACTTGTCGACTACCTACCCTCGACATGTGTAGGCATGTTGTGCCCCTAAAAGGACTACGCCGAGTGTGTGCTTGACCGCAACGACGAACACTGACGTGCGTTTATAGTCCGCAAGTGTCCGCGAGAGCCGTATCTACTGCCGAACATGAGAATTGTGTTGGCACGCCTAGGCGCAGGCTTCGCTTCACACCAGCCATCGCACCCAAACCTAGCACCTCATGGCTAACCGGCTCGGACCGTGGACTAGTGCATGGGTGAATGAAGTCCAATCTGAACAATCCATCTTTGTCAAAACTCAGTGCATTCTTCACTATGACACATCTGATGCGTTCCCGTCTGTTACGACGCGTTCAAATCTATCGCCAGGAAAGTCGCCATCTGACCAGTTAGCTCAGCCCTCTCAGAACGGAGAGTAGGATTCAACGCCTCCTTCTGAGTGTGGCCTTAAGTGGGATCCGAGTCGCCCTAGTCGTTTGTGGCACGCGTAGGGAGGTTGTTCAACTTCGCCGGCCACTGTGCTCGAGTCCTCCCTGATCGTCTTATATTATCGGATCGAGGGTGTTGAGGGAGGCGGAAGTGCGGTAGATGCTGCGCAAGCCACCGTCCTGCGTCCATCGTGTCGCGGGACAACATTGTTCGTGATGGTCCAGCCATCGTCGTGCACGTGTGTTGTCACGTGGTAGTTGCGCTGGACCAACAGGGGGGGCATGTCGGATCCTGGCAGGCGTTATCGGAATGCGCACCATAACAAATTCCAACAATTCGGGGTGCGGTGGTAGACCCGGTTGCCGGCAGACGTCGCGCGCACTGGGACCCCTGCCGCCGCCCCCCCCCCCCTATTTGTTGTTGTTGTTGGTCAAAAACCTGGACATTTGCTGGGTGGACCCGGGGGTGTGGAGTAGAGCACCAAGGTGCGGGCTCATTCGTGCCATTCATCTGCGCCCCCCCCCCCCGCCTCCGGTCTTCTTGACACCGGGTCCAGGTTGGGGGTGAGGGAGAGAGAATGCAGTAGATGCCGTGCAAGCCTACTATCACTATAAACTAACTCGCGCAAAAGTCAACGTCCCTGCTCTGTCCTGTTGTGGAGCACACGGTGGACGTCGTCGGCAACGACAGTCGAACTGTCGGGTAACCCAAGTTTTGACGGAGAGAGAGCAAGGAGGCTTATACTGTGCTGTCGTACCGTGAGTTTTTTGAATGCGCTCAAGGGTTCCGCAGACATGGCAACTTACAGGTCCATAGGGCTGCGTTCTTCATTAGCTCTCAGTCGTTACCAACAGTGCAACTCGGCAGCTGCCTGCGGTGTCTAGGCAACCCTATACAGGGATGCATCGCTCATTCTCCCACAGTGGATAGTAGTCACATCCTCTGAAGCGTGTAGACGTAAATCGCGCGATCAAAACAAAAACCGAGCTCCCACACCATTACCGTCACCACCTGATGGTCGACCTGCCAGACATGACGTCCGCTCAAGTTGCATAAAATCTGGCTCGTTTCAGTGTGTGCGTCTTCGTACTCAGTGAGACCACTTCTTGAAACAAGGGCGGCTGAACCTGGCGGGCGACACTTTCTTACGAAGTTCCCGCTTTGCTCCTGGAGTCTTTTTCGATATCAGGAACGACCTCTTCAGGACGCTGTCGCTCTCCTACGTGGCCTTGAGGCACCCCAACAAAGACAATTAGTGGCGATGTTGAGAATGTGGCGGATAGACAACGCAAGATTTTCCTATACAAAGGCCGTGAAGACAGACTTATTGGACAAACTCACTTAAAGCTATAGTGCGTACACACGATTCAGCAGGCAGTGGCAACAAGTATTCTCATCAGGCCAGTCGTTTTAGGTTGTTTGTCCCCGCAATAGGCACTTACGTGCGCATGAGCTCTGTTTACCTGTAGCCATTCACCGAAGGGTACAGCGTCAATTGACGTCGAACTATTGACACGTCAATACCAAGTTAAGCATGACTCAGGAAGCCAATAAGGCTAGATCGCAGTTGATAGTCCGTACCCGCATTACAGGTGGCTGGCGGGTTTGTTTACTCGGGTTATTTTGTGGGGCTCCATAATCACATCTGACACATTTGGCTTCCGTTTTACGTTTGAGGTTACGATTGGGGTACCGGTTAATGGTTTTCAATTTTCCGGTTAGGGGTATGCCTTTAGGCTTAGGTTTTCGGGTTATGGTTAGGGTTTGAGCGTACGAATCGATTCCAGTATTACGGTTAGGCTTCTCAGTTACGGCTATGCCTAAGGGCTACGGTTACGTTTAAGAATTCGGCTAGGGTAAGGGTTAGGGTTGCCGTTAGGGTTAACGGTAACGGTTGAGCTTAGGCTTAGGGTTAAGGTTGGGATTAGGGTTCCGGTCGCTGTCCGCTCCCCATTCCGGGCTACCAACTGCGATCTAGCCGCAAATAAACAGGAGAAGTTAGACGGATCGAAGGCGTAGTCGTTGGGCGGCCGTGCTAGCAATCGCTGGATCAGACTACCACAGTGCTCGCGACTAGGCTGAAGGCGGTATGAAACTACGCCAAAGGAATTGTCCTTGTCTAAAAGACATGAGTCCGCCAAGAAAGTGGGCGTGACTTCCACTGCAGAGACTGGAGTGCGTGCTATGGTTGGAAAGTTAGCGATTTAAGTTGGGAGCAGTTGAGATGGAGGAACTAGTAACAGGAATGGGAAGCGAATGAACAGGGAGGGTGAAACCATAGAACTCACTTTTTTAAAGGCAGTCCATGGTCACGACCTCCTCGCGAGTTCCGCGTTGGATGCGAAACGTCTTCACCCCTCAAGAGACATCCAGGTAGGGGCCATCGTAGGGTGATTCACGTGGTTGGAGGAATCCACCACATGGAAGATAAACGTGAGAGCACGTCTACAAGTCTTCCTCGAGATAAGACTCGAAAAGCGTTGGCCTGGACGGAACTGGGGAAGGTGGCCGCATGAATTGGCGGTGACAGCGCAGAAAGTTGGTTGGACTATCGCCTGCACCGCGAGAAGCTGCGGAGATAATCCCACCTGGTGATTTGGACAGTGACGCTCAACATCAGTTCAACGGCGGAACCAGCAAGATCTGACCTTATGACCTTTTTGGAAGATAGCCCTCCTGTTCTCCAAATCCTCTGCGGTGCGCAGGGTGGTTTTCGGCCAACGGTGACACCTCCAAACCATCCCGTTGTAAATTGCATGATAAGCTGTCGCCTGGACCCGAGTGCGACCTAAAAAGGGTAGGAGACACTGAAAGAGGTGAGATTTAAACTGGACACCACAGTCAGTCGTTACGGTGGGGAGGGAGGGGGACGTCGACTGTGACAACCCAACAACTGAGGAAGGCCTCGACATCAAGCAGAGAGACAGCTTACGACCACAGTGCGAATCGGTCTAGACAAGTGGAAAGACGGGAATATGCCTTGGACAGAGACAGAGGGCGGGCGTAACCAGACCTTATAGCGAGGCTAGGGAAAGTTCGATGGGATCCTTGTTTTGTCGCAGGACACCATTCTGCTGACAGCCGAGACACGCCCGTGTCCAAGCCTTCAGTTCTTTCTGCATCGCAGGCCAGACGAAAAGATTTGAGGCCAGCTCGTCGGTGGCCCGACTCTCAAGGAGAGAGAAATGGTGCAGAGATGAAAAGACCCTGCGGTTGGGGGAGGACTGCACAAAGTAACGGCTGAGGTACCACGGAGAAGGGGTGTCATCGCTACTTGTCGGACGGAGGTCCTGGAGTTGGAGTCGGAAGACGTCCTCGTCAAGCATATCAGCGAGGTCGATCCCCGGAGAGAGTTGGAAGTAAGCAACTGGAGGCCTGGACAATGAGTCAGCCACTTTCTTCCGTTACCAGCCGAGGGCATGGACGCCCGTGGCGAACTGGGAGACATAGTCCAGTTAGCGGGTGTCCCAGGGGTTGAGTTTGTCGCATTGCGACTGGAGAAAGAAGGAGAGGGGCTTGTAGTCCATAAAGAAGTGAAGCCCCCACCCTCAAGGAAGTTCCGAAAGTGTGTCACGACAGTCAGAATCTCCCGTCCACTTGTGCTACAGCCAGATTCGGCAGGTGATAACTTTCTGAAAACGAATTCTGGGAAGTGGTCTGACCTGGGAGGTGCTGTTGAATAACCGCGGAGACTTCGACCATGAGGTTAATTGGTACGTCGGGGGGGGGGCAGATTGGGTCAGGAGGGCGGCGTCGGCTGCCTTCCCCTCATTAAAAGGGAGCGGGGCCCGTCTGCGTCTGCCTTGCCTTTGATTGGCCGGCTCGGATTGGTATGATTGTCCGAAAACCAGACTGCCACTGGTGCGTACGTACAAGTGCGTGCTAGAAGCGCGGCGTTGCAGCAAGCGCCCCGAGTGGGGTCACTCTGCACAACTACCGTCTCCAGACTGTCATGCGTCAGTCACCACAGTGGCCACGTCTCCAAACTTTAAGACATAACTTCGCTCTTCAGACATGGTCATTTTATCTTGGAAATTTTAAAAGAATGTCTGCGTGGGACGTGTGCATGGCGTTGCGCCCTAATTTGATGCTGTGAACGCCTCAGCTGATCGCTCCCATAAACACCGCCAACACCAGCACTGCAAAGTCACGCGAGTTTTCTCCTGCCACATGCTTCGTCGCGGATCACAGCTGCGCGCGTATGCCATCTGCTCAATCGCTGTTAATGACGAATTGCTGTGAATGCTTGTCCATGCGTAAAGTGGCAAGTCCCTTTAAGTAGATGTGCGTTGAATACAGCGTTAAAGCATTTTAGAAGGTTTGCTACAACCTTGGTGTAATGATAATTTGGAGACTAATGATTGCCACATCCTCCTGGCGAATGAAGGATCAACAGAATAGGAGGGAATGGCTCTCAATCCAGCAGCTGCATTGGTAGGGCACGGTCATATGGACCCCCCGTCACCCTCCGGCAATACAGGTAGCCTTGAGCAAAATCCGAGGAAGGGCAAATATTCTCGTATCCTAACCCCAAAACTGACCCTAAACTTACTCCTAACCTTAACGCTAACCCTGTCTTAACCCTGGCCCTAAACTTAACCCTAACGCTAACCTTATCCCCAACTACTATATCCATGTAAACTACGGGAATACGGGGAGTTCCTATTTCCGTTTCTTGTTGTCGTCTTTTCCACATTTCACCAAAGAATGACTGATTTCTGCAAGCCACACATTATAACTATACGACGACATTGATACTCTGTCATTCGGGCATAGTGGACGTGAGCCTCAGGGCCAAATCCAGAACCCTCACAGGCAGTCGCATGACGACCGGTAATATATGTAGGGAGCCCCTGATGATTAAAAATCAGTTTTCTTTAATGCCTGGTCCAGTGTCGAATTTTTTTGCTTATGTTAAAAAACTGCCTACTGGCTGAAGTACTATCACAGTAGATATACAGTCATGTATTTTTTACGCAATTCAGCCGTTTACCTTGACAAACGTAGGGTGCGGAAAGGGATCTTATACGTACTTCGAATGTAACTCCGGCATACAACAGTTTGACCGTCGCAAACGACAATTTCCACCATGTGCCCCACAGCATGGTGGGTCCAGGACGGTGACCTGTGCCTGAATTAGTTATTAGAGACGGTGGACTTGCGCGGCATCTACAACACTTTCTCCTTCCTCACCACCTGAGCCGCGTGACAAGACAGAGTCAGTATGACCAACCGGTTTAGCCACTTCATTTGCCCGTGACACCACAGACTACAGATCACCAAAACTTTAGGCTAACAAGACGATATTGTGAGCGCAGCCGGCATCCGGATGCAAACTCAGTGTAGGACAGCTCTGATAATCCAGTCAATGAAGTAGTTGGACAGAACGAGTGACAGGATACAGTACTCAGTGTGACTACCGGACGTAAGAGGCAAACAAAACACACATGCCCACGTACCAGATACCCTTATCTGACTTAGTTAGCTGGTCGACACGGTTTCTGTAGTGTGGCCGTTAGGCTGAGCTTATTTTCGGGGAGCCCAAAATATGAGTTGGGCACCAGTTGAGAACCGTGCGGAGCAACTACAGTGGCCCTACTCATGACGCCAGTTACAGCGCTGCGCCTCTCGCACGTGGACTTGCACGTGCGCATCAGCGACAGATTGGTCTTCGCCCGCTCGCAGCTTTCCGGTTGGCCAATCAGCTTCAAGGCCGAATCCGACGTGCTTTCGCGTAAGGCGCTGTGACGCATTCGCCTCTCTCCCGGCACTGGACGCCCCCTTTTCGGACTCCAACTCCTCCAACTCCTACTCCGTTTACTCTGTACAGAACAGACTGCGGTAGATCGTTCTTACGGAACTCACTCGTTCCGTTGTGCCTTACCGGCTCCCTCTCTCGAACCAAACCAGCAGCCGCACAGCAGAGCATGATATAGACAAAATGTTATTACCGACAAAGGCAAGGGAGACCGCAATGGCCATTTCTGGCTGACGGCGGCTAATAAGCCAGAAATGGCCATTCCAATATCCCTTGTCTTTGTCGGTAGTACCCTTCTGCCTAGAACAGACTGTTCTCGCAACTGGCGCCTAACTCTTCCTCCTTGTATTTGGGACCGGGTCTAAAAGTTGTTGTGCCTAGGGTCTCACTATGGTTTCAACTTCTGCGACACAACCACCACCTGCACGATGCACATGGAGCTGCCTGTCATCTCTACACGATGTACCCCTTAACTTGGGATCCCTAAAACCCACCTCCCATACAAGAAACCCTTTTAACAAAAATTCAAAAACTTGTTTAATACATTCGTCGTCTACGTTCATATCACACACCCCAGTCCTTAATCTGGCGATTCATAGATGGCTGTATTCTTCCACTCATTCTTTATTGTTCTCCAGTTATTTTTCCAGCTTTACTTAAAAAAGATCTAATTATTTTTAAGC